TCGTCTCGTCTCATACACAAGCCGCAAAAAATTTTTTCTCCCGACGGCGGGTGGGGCTACCCCACGCGGATAGCGGCAGTTTGAATGTGGGAGGTGGAAGTAAGGGTGGTATGTGGCGAGTTTCGCTCGCGGTAGGGGAGGGGGCTAGGATACGTGGATATAAAAAAAACTAAATGGCATAGATCCTTTGCCAATTGAATAGGTAACGTACACTTGAGATGAAAAGGGAGCGGTGAAGAACGGAAAGGATGAGGAAGTGTGTTCCTGGGACTTCTCTTTTTATGAAACTGATGCCTAGATAAAGCTGTTCCGCAAAAACCAGTCATTAGGTTTCTTTATTTATGAAATTGATGCTTAGGTAAAGTTGTCCTACAAAAAGCCTTACTTATGAAACTGATGCTTAGGGAAAGTTGTTCCACAAAAACCCGTCATTTGGGCTTCTTTATTTATGAAATTAATGCTTAGGGAAAGTTGTCCCGCAAAGAGCCCTATTAATGAAACTGATGCTTAGGAAAAGCTCAGAGCGAATAAGTCCCATGAAGTGGGCAAAAACAGGGTAGAGTGGATGCCTGGTGATGAAGTCAGCCTTTGCTTCTGTGAGATTTTGAAGACGAAAAAACAAAGGTATAACTGTTGTGCACAGTTGCAGGCTGCAAAAGGCAACACTGTGGAAATGTCTGCAATTCCTGTGTGATTCAACTGGACTTATTTGCCCTTGGCTTAACCTAAGCATAAACTTCAGTAAATCCTGTCGAACTTATTTGCCCTCAGCTTCACCTAAGCATAAGTTTCAGTAAATGCATTCCTTTTTATTCACAGATCCAGGTTTGTTTTAATTTACTTTTTTTTCTTTGTAGTGCCGTGTTGGTTTATTGTCCTCTTCGCTGCTATCTGCAGTTCTTGCTTCGAACTCCTGACTAGCACCCTTTTTCCCCTCCTATATCCTCTTCCCAACCCCTGCCTCCAGAGCTACATCGGAACACCTACCACCTCCAACCACTGTCACCGTTTATTGTTCTGAACTCCTGACCAGCAACTTTATTCCTCCCCACTATCTTGGCCTCAATCGCGCTCTCTGAGTTGTATCTAGGCAATTACCAACAAACACTTCCCCAACCACGTCCAGTCCTCTCACCCATTACCCCCCAGCCATGTAATTTATCCGCCAGACACGGGGCAGCGCTACCCAGCGCGTCTGGCAAAGCTCCAGCACGTGGCGTCGCGAAATAGTGTTGGCAGAGATGATAGAGCGAAGCGCTGGAAGGCTGAAGTACCATAAATCACCAGTCGAGCCGAGCCGAATTGTAATTTCCCAATTAAAAGTTGGCCAGTTCAGCTAGGTTCACCCGACGATTTGCGAAAAAAGTGCTGCCAGCAGTAGTATTTGAATAGAAAGTTCAGTTAAGGACGGGGGATGCGAATTTGGCCATGGCGGGACAGCAGAGGGGTGGAGGTTCTGCTTGAAGGTAGGAACTGAAAGTGGGATAGGGCTTGAGCGAGAGTGCTCCTGTGGATGGGTTTTCCACACTTTGCCTGAAACTTGATGTTGAGGGGAAGAAGTTAGCAGACTTGAACGTGGCACCCAGAGCATTACTTGGGCAAAAACCCGGTACCACGGTCTTCGCAACTTGAGCTTGAACCCTACATACTGCGGGGCTGAGCTGAGGCGAGTTGCAAGGGAAGAGGATGGCTTGATGCTTTCGAGGAAGCGGAGAAGCAGTTGGCGAGGACCAACTGATCGCAGGCGGAAGGGAACTAACTCACACGGATGGGGTTCGTGTCTTTTCTGATATAGCACATCTACAAATCCCTAATCTACAACTATCTGGTAGTAATCGTAGTTGAAGGTGCAGTGC